CTCTCTTCCTCTCTATCCTTCTCCTCCTCCCTATCTCTCTCTCTCGCCTCTCTCTCTCTCACACACAAACACACAGTGCATATCTTCCTCCCCCCATCCTCCATCTCTCTCCTTACCCCTCCCTCTCCCTACTTCTCTCCATACCCTCTCCCCCTCCCTCTCCCTTCTGTCTCCCTCTGCCCCTATGTCTCTTCCCTCCCCCTCTCTACTTCTTTCCCTCCTTCTCTCTCTTCCTCTCATCCTCCCTCCCTCTCCCTCCTCTCTCTCTCACACACAGTGCATATCTTCCTCTCATCCTCCCTCCTTCTCCCTACCCCACTCCCCCTCCTTCTCTCCCTCCTCCTCCTCTCTCTCTCCTTCCCCCTCTCCCTACTTCTTCCTTCCTCTCTCTCCTTCTCTTTCTCCTTCTCCCCTCCCTCTCTCTCACACACACTGCTTATCTTCCTCCCCCCCATCCTCCATTTCATTAAAATATTTCCGTTTGTGGATGGGGACTTGGTAGAAAGGAAGGAGATTTAACAAAGGAGGAAGAATTAAGAAACCAGAGACAGGTCATCTCTTTACAAACCAATGTCAAAAACAAAAGGCAGATGCGTGTTTCTTTTAGCCAAAAAAAAACCCCATTTTGTATTTTATTTTATTTTATTTTAGCAAGAGACACACTAGGTCTCCCCTGACTTCATTAGGGTAATAAGTTTTTAAAAAAACACTTTTGAAGCTAGGAAAATAGCTTTGAGCTCTGGGGAACAGGAGAGAACAGAGTCCTCTTTAAAAAGGACCGTCTCTTGATTTGGCTGAAAGAGCAGATTTCCCAGAAAGAAGCAAAGCGTGGCTGAATTAAAAGTAGCCCACACAGACCAGAATTATTATTATTGGTTTTAACCTGCTGATTTTTAGGAAAACTAAATCTTGTTTAGCTAGTTCTCTTTGGCTTTTCTCATCAAATACTTTTAAGAGCTGTATTTCTCAACCTTGACAGCTTTCAGATGTGGGGACTTCAAGTCCCAGAATTCCCCAGCCAGCTCCTAAAACACCTCCTTAGTGCTTTAGAACAGTGCCCCCGCCCAACCTTTTGGACACCAGGGACCAGTTCCATGGAGAGAAGTTTTTCCGTGGACTGGGGGGTGGGTGGTTTTGCATGCTGCCTGCATCCCGTGGATGGGGCTTCGCTTGTTAGCACAGCCCGGGTTCTGACATGCCAGTTGTTGTGGCCCACCAGTGGAGCTGGCAGCAGATTCGGACAGCGAGGAGGATGGGGAGGAACATGGGCCAGTTCTGGAGTCTGGGGAAGGCTCGGACGAGGGCTCTGCATCAGAGGCAGAGATGGGGCCAAGGCCGTTTGGCTGTTCTCAGCTGCCTTTGGAGCTAGCAGTGAGGCAGAGGAACAGCTGGAGCCTGTTCCCAGTGCGCGCATGCGCAGAGCTGCCAGAAGACAAGAACAACCAGGAAATCAGGGTAGACTTGGGAGTCAAGTCACAGGTTGACAGTGATTGGCCCCTCCCATAGGAAATAAAAGAGGAGCGAAAGGGGAGGGGGCTTTTGCAGGTAATAATTCGTTCGGTCGGTCATTCATTCGTTTCAGGAGTGTGAAGATCTGTTCGTGAATCTTGGAGACTCTGTGCCAAGTCTTTCCTCGCGTTTGGAGAATATTTACATGGCAGCTTTCCAAGCTAGATAAGGTCTGTGGTCATAAATATTCCTTTGAAAGACTGTTTGCCAGG